CCATCCTTCATTTGTTTTTACAATCATGGAAGAACATAAAAAAAGTTGATGTTGCTCTGCATTTGAATACATCAATATCTTTCTCTTTTTTCCCCTTACTAGGTTCCAACCCGTGCCCTGTTCTATGTGTTTCTTGTGATGTCAGACTTCATGGCACTGCACTTCTTCTTCCTCATTCGGACAGAAGGCTCTTGGCTAGAAATTGGGACATCACTCAGCCACTATGTTATCTCAATGGCTACTACACTTTTCCTGATTCTTCTCCTCTTCATGGCTAAATTCCTCACCAATGTCTGCCTCAGAAAACCAGCAAAAGAAGGAGAGTTTGTTTTGCCACAAGTTAGTGTTGGCAGACCTCATAGAGATTAAAAGAGATACTGACTTCCCTGGTAGTCCTGCCATACATTGATTTTATATTTAGACTGATTACATATATAAACCATGAGAAAAAGACATTTTGGGAGGTTCTGTTTGAATAAAAACCGAACACTGTGGTTATCTAAGCAGTCTACTAATTAATGAATAAGTTTAACTTTCTTACTAACTTTTTTATGGCAACTCTGTGGTGAATAATTGCTGATGTTTTTTTATCCTTAGATTGATGATCAATTTTGTCCATTGATAAAGAGAACCAAACATTGTTTAGATATTAAATTTTCGAAGTGGAACTCAGTAATTCCAATCACGTATTATTTGATATTTGCTGGAAAAGAAAAGAAAAAGAAGTTACAAAACTTTTTTTGCAACCTAATAATTTTTCAGAAATGGAAGTACTCTAGAAATGAATTTTGTTCTGTATATACTGCTTCTGTATTTTATTCTTCTCCAATGGAAGAAGTGATATGTATTATTTATATGTAAATCATGCAGATCTGTATAATTTTTTATATTTGGGATATAGTTGAAACATTATTGGCTGTCTCTGTTGGTTTCTCATTGGAATGTAAAAGGACAACAGTTTTTTTATCTTCTTGAGTTGGTGCACAGTCATTAAAGACACTATCAGGGATATATTTTTGCTGTTATTTTTAGTTATTTTTTTAATAATAGGCTTGTGGTAAGAAAGAAAAGAAAAAAGGCAAAGCAGTCACTCTTAACCGATCAGCTAGAAAGTTTTGGCCCTGAAATTAGTCACCAATGTTAAAAATATAAACTTTGTATGTGTTTATTCTGTTTTTATTATCCATGATGATTCCAAATTCACATCTAGAAATTTATATTCCTGAAATGTCTGCCTTAGAAGTTTTATATGGAAATTAAGATTTCTAACTTTTGTTGGTGAATATCCATCATCTGAAGTTCTAGCTACTTATTAGTATTAAACATTGTGTTTTTAATCAGCTATAGCCAGTTATATTCACATGTTGTCCAAGTGTGATCCATTTTCATGAAAGCTAGCTCATACCCTTTTTTACTCAGTTGACAGAGATATTGTGTAGTGTTTTATTTTTGTCAAGATTTTCCATGCAGGGGCTAGAACAGTAACTTGTATTTTGAAGAACTTTAAATTTGGCAGTGTTATCATTTTCTTATGTAGATGCCCCTCCATGGTCAGTCCATGGTCAGGACTCAACCTCACTCATTCCGTAAGATACCCTCTTGGTTCTCAGGCGCATGAATTACCACTGCACGACTGTTGCTACTGTAATACTTTCAATTTGCCGTTTCAGTGTTAGCCTTCATGTCTTTGTGTGTTCGTTTTTAGACCATGTCTTTTTGTTTTTCTATAGAAAGTAATCAAATTGTAGTCTTATGATCTTGAAGGCCACAGTAGTTTTAGATATATTGTTTATCAGAAGGCAAGCAGGAAGTCCATGATTTTGTTACAGCACATCCTATTCCAGTTTTTTGAAGGTGCAAAGGTTTTTCTTGAAAACAGGAAAATTTTCATGACATTATATTCTTCTATCTGATTGTTAACCAGGAATGCCTTAGTGTTTTTAAGTGTTTTGAATGTTAATGGACATTCCATGTTATACATGGAATGTCCACTTTGGTTTTGATTTATCAATTCATTTACACAGATGGCTCCAAAACCACCTTGTCACCAAGGAGTCAATTGCTAAGGCTATTTGACCTCCCTTGTTTACCTCATTCCTTGAATTTTCAGAACCCCCTTTTTTATTATAATTTTTGTTTTTGGTAATGGAATAACAATAGAGATAATTCAGCTATTGATAATGCAAGTGATGACAATAATAGTAAAAGTAAAAACTTGACTTTCCTGAATATTCAAGGAATAAGGCAAACATGTACAATCAGGTAGGCTCTGCAACTAACTTTTTGGTGACTAAGAACATGTGAAGCCATTTATGTCTAAACTAAATTACCCAAACAAAACCACAGAAGACTGTGTTCCTTGCACTAAGAGGTTCACATACCCACTAAGGTAGAACTATGATTTATCAATTGCAAGCAGTAGCATAGCAACCTTGCACAAAATCTCTTCTAACATGACAAAGGATCACAGTTTGAACATATACTAAATCTAGTCTATTATTAACACTATCGAAACAGTGTGGCACTTCAATATCTCAAGTATTGAATGCACATCTGAACTCCATAGTTATGTGTAATGAATATAGCTTGTACTATAATTCATAATTATGACCCTTAAATCACAAATTCTGTTAAACCACTTTGTATTCTTGTCAAATGCAATTATCTATTTATGTTACATTTTTATTTTTGCCTAGGCTTCTAACTTTTTCATTTGTTTGTTTATACTTTAAAGCATTTTCCCACCATTTTAAGAGAAATTAAGTGGCATTTGAACATGTAATTTAGTCATATCCCAAGACTTTAAGGTCAGCTTGTTTGATTGACAGTGATGAAAAAAGTAGAAAAGGATGAATTCAGTTTGGACTTGTAGTGCACAAACTTTACTTATATTAAATGTCATTTTTATGACCAGTTGCTCCTATTTTTATGGTATTTTTAAGCATGATAAAAGAGAAGAAAGGTATTGCATTGACTTTGTGCATGTTAAATCCTTCTTATCCATTTTTTGTAATGGTAGTTGTATATCTGCATTTTAATATTCTTATGGATTTTTTTGTAATGCTCAAAAGCATGCATGAACCTGAAGTTATGAACCAAATACCCCTTGCTTTTGATAAAATGTTTTTGCGTAAAGGCTCTGTTATTTTCAAATCATTAACTAAGTGGTGCCAGGAGTGCCTCTCTACTGTTATTGTTATATTGATTTGTGTAAATGCAATATTTCTTTTCATTTTACCCCCAATCCCATGTCTGTTGTTATTGTGGGGGGCAGTGGAGACATGAGCCAAGGTTCAGTATTGAGGATCGACCCTACCTTGACCCTCAGTCCTTGGCTCAACTGATTTTGCATGTTTTTTTTTCTCCATTTTTCCATCTTTACTCCAACCTTCTTCTTCTACTCACTTCTTAAAGTGTAAGAGCCATGCTGAAAGGATGAAAGGCTGTCTTTGTGTCAGTCCAGAATGGCTACAGGGAGCCAAGAGCTCGGTATTACCTTGGTTGGTTCCCTTGCCTTACCCCACATGGGGACCCTGAGGGTTAAACCGGTTCTCTTCCCCAAATACTTCAGGTTCACCAAAGCCAATGATGGAGATTTTGTACCCTTATTTGGTACATTGAGGCTTGCCCCATTATCAGCTAGCCTATTTGAAATTAACTCCTCTGGTTTCCCATTCCCTGACTCTCCTTTGATCACATCTCTGAATATTGCTATTGCTACCCCTCTAGGATGCTTGCTGACAACTTGATCCATTCCGAATCATCCACCCAGGTCAACCTCAATCTTCCTGCAACAGTCTTCTTTATTTTCTGCCCCCTCCTCCATATTGTCCTTCTAGCTGCAGCACTACCTCTCTCCAACATTCCCTCTTCCTTCTGTCCTTGTCCTTCTCCAAATTCCACCTTTACAAACCTTTTGAGTACTCTTTATAGGCCAGTGAAATGGGATTGCTTTTTTTGTGATTCACCCTACAGTCACTCATTCTGACAATAGCATCTTCCAACAGTGTCCCCTAAAACAAGTTGGCAAAGTTTCCTTCCTCAGCCGGTCTGATCTTTTAGCCTAGTCACAGGTGCATCTGAGTCCCAAGTTCATGCATTATCTACCCAGACTGACTCCTGTGGCAAAATTATTCTTGCCTAGCTCACTCCTCCCTTAATACTTGTACCGGAACTGTTTTCATCTCTCTGACTGATTGCGGTGTTTACCAAAAAGGTAGTCAGATTGGGAAACGACCTGCTTGCCTGCCTCATTGACTGTGATGCAGTATCAGTACAGTGCTACTTTCTTCCCCCCAAAGGCCGCCGAAAGTACAACATTAATATTGGTAAGATTACCTTACCATGAAGTTTATATTGGCGTCGAATCCTGCCCTACTCTGACCGACCACATTGGCCTTTTCTCCTTAAGGGTCAGAAATGGCGTTTTAGCTATCCAACCAAGCACTATCGCTTCACAGCCCGATGCCCTTATGTGGTTAACCTTATCATTCATCACCCAAAGTTATTTGCGCGATAACACACATACCAATAGTGGTGGATCCTACGGTGTATCTTATAAGAGCTGCCCTACCTTTAAGTTTGAGTCTGAGACAGTAGTTCAACTTGGTCTCACTTTACACGAGGCCAAGCAGGAACTACGCCGATGTGTTTTTTCTTTCTTCCTCGTCACCTAACTATTCCTTCCTATAGTGATGGTAATGATAGCGACAGTAATAATAGCAGTGATCATATAAATATTTTCAAACACAAGAATTAAAGGAAACGACTTCTTGGTGTACTTGTAGACCCATCACTGTTTAAAACAAAATTATTGAAACTGTATGTATCCAGCATCAGTGAATTGATTTATTTGGTGTTTTGCCTTTGTTTTCTTTCCTCAAACATTCCCTACCATGTTGATATTGTTGATAGTATAATACTGACGTCTTTTACACTTCTGCTGCGAAAAATGTATATCGACATTGTAATTTGTACTGTTTTGTTTTAATGTCATTGTTGTTTTTCATTATCGTTATGGGTTCTATATATTCCTGAGACGAAAACTCTCCTGTGTATATACTATTTCAGCCTGCAATTCCTTTTTGATAAGAAAAAAAAATGTTTGTGTCCTATCAAGGCTTTCATTATCCCGAAAGAAAAGTTGATGGGTAATTTTGAATGGTATTATAGCTTCTGTTTTCTTCTGATTTTCAACAAACATAATTTCACGACTTTAGAAGAAAAAATGCACACTATAAAAAAAAATTCAATTATGCTGTGAAGAAAGTTTTTTTTAATCTTTATAAATGAGTGCAGTTTGCTCTTATAAATGATTTGCATATTACATTTTTTTAACATGCATGTCATTATCCTAGAGCAGGGATTATAATTGGAATACTGTGTACTCCTGTTCCATCAGTTTATTAGTTCCTTTTCTAGAAGAATCTTATTTTCCAGATTACATTACCAAATGTAAATCCACAACTCCCCATGGATGACCCCTCTAATTCCTTGTCCGTTGTTGTCGTGGGGGGGGGGTCGTAGGAGACGGGGACTGGAACCGAATGCGGGGATCTCCCCTGCCTTGGGCTTCAGCACCCAACTCACCTAATTTTGCATTGTCTTTTCTTCTTCCAGCTCTTTCGTTTCCGTCCCTTCTCCAACCCCTTCTACTATCTACTTCCTAAGGTATAAGAGCCGTGCTGAAAGGAGGAAAGACTGACTTTGTGCCAGTCCTGAACGGCCTGAGGGAACCCTGGGCACGGTATTCCCGTTTTAGTTTATTTCTTACCCCTCAAGGGGACCCAGATGGGTGGACTGTTTATCTCCCCAACAGTCAAGGCTTCCCATGACCATTAATGAAGATGTAATACCCATATTAGAGGCAATGCGGCTTGCCCCTTCACCAAATAGCCCCGCCAATTCAAAACACCCGTCTCTCTCTCCAACCCCAGGCTCTCCTTTGACCACGACTCCGAACACTACAACTACTACCCACTCCACAATGCCTACATGTGCATTATCCACCCAAGTCGAGACCTCTACCCCCACAACTTTCTTCATCAATCACCTCATCTTCCCTTATTATATTACCTTACAGCCTTATTCTCCATCTCTCCGTAATACTACCCCCTCAACAATACTCTGTCTTCTCCCACCCAACACACGTCCCCGTCCTTCTACCACCCCAGATTCTACAAACATCTTAAATACTTTATTTAGCCCTGTCAAATGGGACCGATTTTTCATAAACCCCCCTACAGCTCCTTACTCAGGCAACCTCTTTCAACAATGTCTCCGAATACAAGTGGGCAGAGTCCCCTTCCGTACCCAACCCGAGCGTTACAGTTACATCTGAAATTGAAGCTATAGCATTATCAAATCTAAACGATCTCTCTGGCAATCCCATTCCAGGAGAATTTCATCCAACTCTTAATACCTGTACCGGAACGGTCTCTATTTACCCAGCAAGCTGCCCTATGGATATCGATTGGTCAGATTGTGGAGAGTACTTACTCGGCTGCCTCAAAGACCGTGATGTGATATCATTACAGTACTACATTCCTCCTATAGGTCATCGAAAGAAACTTACTAACACTGCCAAAATTATTTTCCGTACAAATGACCTTCCCTTCCCTATCTACATTGGTGGACAATCCCTCAATGTTCGACCACACCAACCTCCTCCCAGTCAATGTCGAAACTGTTGGCATTTTGGACATGCTGCCAAACTCTGTTATAACCGGTCAAACTGCTCTGCACAAACACGCACATGTGCTAACTGCGGCGGCCCCCATAATGCATTTTATAGAGGCTGCCCCACTTACAAGTTTGAGTCTGAGGTAGCAACTCAGATGCAAACTTTGTCACTCTACGTGAAGCCAGACAGGAAGCACGTCAGCGAGGTTTTTCTCATACTCCCTACTCTAGCAATGTCGCTCGCTCTGCCCCAACCCAGGATGTTCCTACACCCTCCTCTACACCTACTTACTGTCCCACCGTCCCCTCTCCCTCCCCGCACTACCCGCAGAAGACAAACTAAACGTTCTACCCCTTCTTCTCCTACCACACACTCATCTCCACCTACATTTACCTTTATTCCTCAGACGCCAGTCTCCTCTTCTCCTCCTCATAAGAAAACCTTTGTCTCACAAGACTCTCCAACCAACTCCACTGGAGAAACTATGGAAGATACTCAAAGCTCCTACTCGAGACACAAAATTCCACAACTCGTGCTCCCTCCACACTTTAAGTGACTGTCGATATCCATCCTCCTCCCACTCATATTTCAGTCCCAAACACTATGTTGTCCTGTCCACGCTTTACTACAACCCGTACCTCTGCTTTCCCTTTCCTGTACTCACTTCACCGACCTTCCAACCTCCCAAAATCCTTACGGAATCCCACGCTTTCTCCTTTGGCAACTTCTTATACTTTCCTTAGATGCATACGTATCCTTCACTTTATCTAATTCCCTCTACTTATTCTTGCCTTAACCCATTTCCTCATCCTCGCCACCTTTACTCATCTTCACCCTTTCCAACATTATCCTACTGCAGTACGACTTGATGTGTAGCACCCGATCCTTAATCTTTAGCCTTTCCGATGCCATGCCTTCCTATAGTGCTACATGACCTTTGACATCTAGGACATTTATATTATTTTTATTAACCATTATCCATTAGTCTCTCTGATTTCACAAAGTGTTGAATTGAAGGATTGTCTTTAACTTTCATTTTAAAAAATGTAATGTTTCATATAATGGAAATTGACTATTGATGTTAATTTATTGATTCTTGTGCATATGTTTTGTGGTTTGTATGATTATGCAATACTGCAGTGGATGAATAAGGGGACAAAACATATATATCATTACTAATATTACACAGCATTATAAATAGCATTACTAGCTTTTTATATCAATAGCTTTGATGCAAGATATGTATGTATCTGATGACAGTAAATATACTATTGCTATATTTTTTTTATAAACATATAGGAATAAATCAATGGGAACTTATTATAACCCGAAGATTAAGCCTGGCTTGTAACCTATCATAGGTTAGACCACCGAGCGACAGAAGTATGTGTGAAATTATTGTGAATCAACTGATATTGTAAGCATTCTGCTTTTTCCAATTATACTAAACAGCGCCATACTGAAATTAAAGCTTCCCTCTGTGCAATGATTACAAACAAAGTCTGCATTAAGCATCATTATTGAATATGAAGTATCAGCATTTTGTTTTATTATCCAAAATTGATCAGCTAGCAAAACTGCATCGGGAAGAAGCAAGAAATCATCACGTGAGGCAGACTGCTCTTCTATTTACAGCAAGAGAAAATATCACCCTGTGCTAGGATAGGTTTCTTGATATTTATTGTTCCCTTAACAATTTAACACCTTCTTTGGTATATATAAAAAATACATATCCAATGACATTTTTGGAAATGTAGGGGACCTCAGTCCTCGCCTCAACTAATTTTGCATAGTCTCTTATTCTCCCCCTCTCCTTTCCTTCTCTGCTTCACCCCCTTCTTCTGTGTCCACATCCTAAAGTGTGAGAGCCGTGTGAAAGGATGAAAGGCCGGTTTGTCAGTCCTGAACGGCCTTCGCACTCCCTTTGCTCTTCTATCTTCACCCTTTTCATTACCATACTGACATACAGCTCTCTACGACCTTTGACATCTATTTTGTTCTAATCGTTAAATAATTTTTAACCTTTGCTCCACAATACTTATTCCCAGTGCTGCATGACCTTTGATGTCTGACACGTTAATTTGTTTTGCCTTCAACCATTCTGGAAATCCACAAACATCACCTTTCGAATCAAGAAACTTCCTTACCCGGGGGCTTCGCCCCCACTCTCACCCCATCGCTATATTTTGAATACGCCGCTAAAGACCTTGGATAATGATGCGGCAGAAAAAATAATACATAAATTAGTCACCCAGCATAAACAGGTTTACCTTTTTTCATAATCCGATGGTCATAAGATGATGGTCAAAGTAAGTCATTGTGGTTATGCTATCATATCAAATAAACAATTTTCTTCACTACCATAAGATACAGCAGAAAATGATTAGAAAATATGGAAATAAGATTTCAATGTGTGAATTTTTCATCATCCAATATCAAATCTTTTAACGACCATTACAGTCACCTGAGAATGCAAAATTGGATTTTCATACTCATGACTGGATCTTGCAGCAAGAGCATTATTCAGAAGTAAGCTCAAGTGACTGTTGAAACTGAAAAAAAAAACTTTACGAATACCAACAGTCAAATATCAGACAATTTCCGTTTGTATGAGCTGTTTCAGTAAAAAGATGTGTTGACTTAAATTTACTCCATTTCAATACTTATCTATATTTCAAACTTTACTTTTATAAATGAAAGATATATCAGGTTTCAATATTTGCCCACTGCGTTGTATTCCTATTATCATTATCATTTTGTAACCGCATTGGTTATATGATTATATCTATTGAATATTCTTATATGGGACGTAAAGGGGTCGCTGAACAACCTGACGGGCAGCAGTTTGTGTATCCTCATGTTGCAGGACACTCACTGCCTTCTCTTTTGTGGGTTTAACTTCCGTGGTTAGTGTTGGATGCATTCATGATTAAATGAGGATGAGAGGGATCAAGGAGAGAGGAAGCTCCATCTCAGATGGTTCGATTTCTGTTGGCTTTGCGTATGGTTGAGGAAATCACCGTCAATTAATCAAATGTGATTTTTATTTTATTTTAGCACCAAGGAAATAAATCATAGAAAAAAGGTAATCATTTAATATGCAAAAGGTACATTGCCATTTTGGCAAACAAGGCATATTATAACTATCGATCCATTTCCATACTATTATGTGTATTGACGGAACGTGCGATACATTAAAATGTCATGGAAAAATGTCAACAATTAATTTCTGATGGAAACATGATCTAAATCGTGTGATAAAAGTAAGTGGTGTGATACTTTAAATGTGAGAATATATATATACACCACTCACAAGCTGGTGATGGCCAGGAATAAGAACAGTCAAAATGAAACGTCATAATTAAATACTTTACTTATGATAAAATTACCGGAAAAAATCAAACAAAATTATTATTGTGAAAGACAACAACAATAAAGAGGACTTTTTGAACGACAGGAAACCCACGAATTAAAGAAAATTAAATCATTAAAAAAAATCAGGATCCATCACCATGGTACGCTGTCAACATTCACTCTTCAACATTCAATGACACATCTAGGTGAAAAAGAGGAAGAATTAAAAAGAAAAAAAAGATAGCATATCCTCGCGCAAATATGTTTGAAATCAGACAAAAAATAACGTTGCAAAATGAAATGCAAAGTGAGAATGCATGGTAAAGTTATATCTATGAAAGGAAAGGAAAAATAAAAATAATGATAAGGAGCTGTGTGCCGAGGAAGTCCCGCTCCCTCGGCCCTGCCTCCGGAGAGGCCGCAGCAACGCCGAGCCCTGCACACGCGAGCCCGGCTGTCCTTCACTCATCTCGCTGGCAGCGTCTCGCCATCGCAACGCCGCCCGGTTCAAAACATCGCGGAGATACACCGTCATGACGGATTTACGTCATTCACTTGAAACATTTAAAAAAAGAATTTCTATCTTAATATTGCTAAAAACTGAGTGTTCTACAGTGAAGGAAAATGCACTCAGATACTTGGAGTAAAATAATCAAATCGTGGGGTTCAAGTTGAATCCTCCCAGAGGTACGCAAAAACAAAAAACAAAAAAAGGAAAAAAAATCATATATACTATATATATATATATATATTATATATATATATATATATATATATATATATATATATATATATACACACACACACACACACACACACACACACACACACACACACACACACACACACACACACATATGTATATATATATATATATATATATATATATATATATATATATATATATATATATATATATATATTATATATATATATATATATATATATATATATATATATATATATATATATATATATATATTATATATTATATATATATATATATATATATATATATATATATATATATATATATACAAATCAGATGCAGTACAGTCGGAGCAGATGGACTTTATGGTTTCCCAATAGCCGCGAGTCCAGTCACAAAGTAGTTTAGCAAGCAAACCATATCACTTAACGGTGGCAAAACCTCCATGGACAGTGCGAATCTATTTCAATTTGACGAGATAAGCAGAAAACGTTGATTCGCAAAACAACGTATAACAAGCTACTTCTCTGCTTATATGTACGGATGTACAAAGAATCTGTGTGGACATTCGTGCTCTATAATATTCCAGTAGCTAAACACTGGAGGGATAGCCTTCGCTCTTAAGACGAATAACAAAATGTTTACTGTTGCATGTTTTAGCTAAACCTGTTCGATTGCTTTGCTTCCGTTTCATATATCAGATTTATATGAAAAGACCGAGTATCACCAGCCGTGAGATACGTGCCATTTGAAACAAAACTATCAACTAAATACTTCATCGCCAGTGGTTGCTACAGAAACTTGACTCGGTCGGCTTTTCTGCATAAGAATAAAAAGTAAAACAGGTACAATAAGACCGCAATCTCGATGTCTGTGCGATCTAGCATTTCAGAACCAATGGACTGAAATATGCGTTTACTTGTTTTCTGGGAACATTTTCCACTTAAGAAAGAAATGTGTGCCAGCCGTTTTAGAAATGTTGAACACTTGAACCTGTTGTTCAGTGCAACCTTTCCCCTCTCCCCTTTCCCCTAGCCATCGTTAGGTCAAGTCAGCCATAGAGGCAAATCAAATGGCAGGTCACTGACACCACAAACAACTTCACTTCACCGCCTGCTGCAGATCAAGCAGTGCGACTTTCGCCGCCACAACATCTTGTCCACTTTCCATAGCCCTCCAAGCCGGCTCTCCGCCGCCTCCCCTCCCCTCAACTCTGTCGGATGTGGCCTCTCTTCCGAGCGCGGTCCCTGATCGAGACTCGAGGCATGACCGCGCGGTGCTCCTGGTGACTGCCTCCCGAGCTGGTGCGGTTCATTAGCTGATTGAACATCTTCGAAACGCTGAGTTTACGGAGCCTTGGGGACGTCTGGCCCTTCAGCTGAGACACTTGGCGCAAGAGGCCGTCGATCGAGTCGTTGACCTGTGGAAAGACCGCAAGGTTTTTATATGAATTTTGACATTTGTGTATTCCCACTTTTCCTTTAGGTGTTGTTTTGATTATGAAATATTAATTAACCTTAATTTCGGCGGGGGCAATAACCGATTGATTATGTCTCCCTTACATGGTCTGTATTTCAATTAACTGTAGTGTCAGACATCCCCGCAGCTTGTCATTTGGAGGCCATCTGACTCATTAGTAGGATGAGGGCGGTTTCCTTGCTTATAGAATTCTCATAAAAACACAAACTATATCTACGCATCAACACTATATGCAAATATGTGATTTTATGAATGTGTCTTATATGTGTGCATGTGCCTTTATGATTGGAGAAATGTGTATTCATGTTGTATGTGTGTGTGTGTGTGTGCGCGCGCGCGTGCATGCGGTTACCATACCTGAGAGACCATCTCAGCCGCTGAAACTTCGACGAAACGACAACCGTATTGCTCTGCCAGCTTCCTGCCTTCGCTCTCTGGAACCTGAAATAGAAGACCATTTCCCTTAAATATCGATGCGTCTATCTTTCTATATTTATATCTGTGTATGGGTGCATGAGTATGAAGTAAAATAACAGATGTATATAAAAATCCCTCTTACATTGTGTTGTCACTGAGATATGTCCCGCACGTACTAGACCTCGCTCTAGGACAAGTTCAACGGAAAATGATCGGTGAAGCATTATATTTTTTTTAAAAGAAAGGAATTTCCTCTGGGCGGCAAAAATGCACCATTTTTTTTTTTTTTTTACTAAATGCAGTTTGAATAATTTTATCTACTCATCTAATACACTTTGGAAGTGTATATATAAATGTGCAGTTCGTTTTTAATAAAATGACAAGCCTCAGATATAACGCTGCCAGCGTCCAAGAAAAAAAACAGGCGTCTGAGCGCGATTCACTGTGTGTGAACATGTGTGCTGCGAACACTCGGCCCGAGTACGCAGTCTCCGGCCGCCCGCGACCTTCACACCCCAAAAGATCCTTTCACTGTGCCAACACAAACAGACTATAACGTGTCATTATCGTAGTGCAGCGGGCGGCTCACACAGAGTACAATGAAATACACATATAGGGTTAAATACTGTCTGTAACAAATGCATGTACGTCTGTGCCGATGGACATTTCCAGCGGTGCTGCCAAACCCATTTCGGACTCATTGTGAAAACAGAACAAAAAACACAAAAGTCGACGCCTGACGACGACGGCTAGAATGAGCTAGCTTTGGCTTCGGTGCCAAAGGGCGGCTCGCTGGGGGGACGAGGCGGTCGCGCGGGAGGGCGAGTCAGGTCAAGAGCCTCCGACCTGCGTGTGCGGCGGCAACTGGGATATATTGTCAGGATTTATGTCCTGCAAGCCTTTCAGTCAGTAATCAAATGGAGAAGTATCCAATGAATACCGGTGTGTTTCTACAAACATCTACAATTAATGAATTTATAGATGCAAGGTAATCACTATGGTTAATAAAGTTATTAAAATTCAAGCTGAGACACCGGATCTAAGATTACTGCGAAAAAAGTTATGAATAAATAACCATTAGCTACAAAGCCCCCGATCGTAATGTTTCATCCGGTAACACTGTTTTATCTTATCATACAAATCTCAGGGCAATTAGAAAGGGTAAAAGGCCACGTGGATTGATGGCCAGTATCTCTGTTGAATATTCAGTTAGTAACCAATGACAACTAATACAATTTGTAATACAATTTTCTCCCTTAAGCTTTTAGCCATGAATGAGCACTGTTGCTAGGGAAGCGAAGGTGATGAAATGAAGTCCTGTAACCGCAACAGACATTTTAAAATAAATCCTCGCTCGGATAGTACTATGACTCTCGCTCGCTCAATCTATTTATTCAACCGAGTTCTTGAATTCCCGGCGCGCTCTTCTGCGAACCCTGACGCGAATCAGTGAGGTTTCCGATAGGATTTCGCTCTCCGGAGCAATAAGCGAAAGGCCTTTTATTTCTGACTGGACTTTACATGCACATAAATACACACGCAGGCATATACATATACAAATACACACACACACATATATACACAAATATAGACATATATGTATTTCTGACAAAGGTATAATCGAAACCGGTCAAATATATTGTATTATGAAGATATTCATTCTCATTCATGCCTTTTTAACATTTAACATGAATGCAGTTCATATACATACATACATATACATATATATATATATATATATATATATATATATATATATATATATATATATATATATATATATATATATATATACATATATACATATACATATACATATACATATAACATTTAACATGAATGCAGTTCATATACATACATACATACATATATATATATATATATATATATATATATATATATATATATATATATATATATATATATATAGATAGATAGATAGATAGATAGATATATAGATATATATAGATATATACATATATATATATATATGTATATATATATACATATATATATATATATATATATATATATATATATATATATATATATATATTATCTGTGTGTGTGTGTGTGTGTGTGTGTATGTGTGTGTGTGCGCACATACACATACACACGAACACACACACGCACACATGTAAGCCTACATATTATAAAAAGAAATTAACAAATAATTAATTGGAAAGCCAAATATATTAATGCAATCAGAAACCACCGTAAGTGAATGTCTGGCCCAAAAAGAGTCTTGCAAGAGAACAACGAGCAACGTCAATGCCACCAGCCCTTACGCGCAGGTTGGCAACACTGACGCCGAATCAAGGTAAATATTTCTTCATTTTTTTCTTACTTGTTTTCCTTTTTTCCTTCATCATCTTTCACACACAAATACTTATAACTCCCCCCTCCTCTCTCTCTTACTGTTTCCGCCCCCCTCTCCTCTCTCTCTTTCTCTCTCTCTCTCTCCGCAGAAGCAAGCGTGTCTGCTTGAACCCTCAGAAGCAGATACATGTCCTAAGCATCCGACATCCTACATCCGACTTCTACGTATCGGCTGCGGATTTGCTGGCGCCAGGCCTTGTTCCCTGACCGCGCGCAGGAGGCGATGCCCTTGGCCGCCGGTGAGATTAGATTAGGGTCTGCATTTAATGGGCTGTTTACGCATCGGATTAGCTTGCGCGCCTGATTGCGGCTCCGGATTTGCGTCGCGGCGGGGCTGATTCTTTGATCGACTTCGTCGGGAATTGCATGATTAGCTGCATCACTCCGTCACTCGGGTTCGGGAGGCACAGAATATCAAATGCTGGTCTCTATGAAATAGAAAATTTTATTTCTAAAACCGTTTTATGTTGTTAGGCTAATTTAAACCACGTTTTTGACTTTAAAAACCAACAATATCTACCGTGAGGGAGGTAGTACCCAAGCGCTGGTGTCATAAATCAGTGTCTAGATAGACTACTTAGTCAACAGGTAACAGTCGCACCTTCGCGCCGCTTGGCCGACGCCCAAAGGGTGCTTCTGAGGGTGGCCCGGACGCCACGCTCGCGCCACACTGGAGTTCGGAAGAGGTTGGACCTGGACGCATTTTGACCACTATCTCTCTTTCGCTCGCTTCCTCCCACCTCCTTCTCTCTCCCTCCTTCCCTTTCACTTCTTCCCCTCCCTCTTTCCCTCTCATTTTTAAGAGATTTACTGCTTCTCTCTATCTCCATACAGACACACACGCACACACAACACCATATATAATATATTATATATATATATATATATATATATTATATATATATATATTATATATATTATATATATATATATATAATATATATATATATAATATATATATATATATATACACACACACACACACACACACACACACACACACACACACACACACACACACACACACACACACACACACACACACACACACACACACACACACACACACATACACACACACACACACACACACACACACATATATATATATATATATATAATATATATATATATATATATATATATATATATATATATATATGAAAATTAGTGTTTGTATGTATGTATATATATGCATACATACATACATATATATATATATATATATATATATATATATATATATATATATATATATATATACATATACGTGTATAATTCTCACTCGTTTGTGTGCGTGGACACAAATTCACTTCTTAAACATTCGTCATATGCCAAATATATATATATATTTTCTATAGGAGCCATCTACGAATACCAAATTAGCTTCTCGTCTCCAGGTTTATTGCTTTCGGAAGAAACAAACTAGATGAAAGAGCACTAACAAACAATATCTCACATTGACGCACGCACACAAGTATGGATAAAGTAATTTGTAAGCTTCGTCGGCGTTCATAAATCCATGAGATCGGAAACTGTATCATGACGTCAACGGCGACCTTGAACTCTGTTGGAAAAGGATCAATAGCCGTAGCATAAAGGCTTGTTTGGAAAAAAAGAATTCAAGATAAAGTCCGCACTGTCGCTGCACTGGAGAGAAAAAATAACAACAGCGAATAAAGTGTTGTTAAAAATATATACATTGGTCTGAAAGAAAATGACACTAAAAGTATTGCAATCGAAGTAATATATAAATTACAATGACTGCCGATGCCTCTCGCAATGCAGCGACTCGGAGGCGGAAGGGAGCGCACATCAGACGAATAAAGGAAGTGGATATATGAGGAAGGTCACATTAAAGCGGAATTTGATAATGAAGATCTATATTGAGACGAGCCAGCTGAGAGAAAGATGTGTCTATTTTTGAACGAACATTTTTTTCTTCGCTTTCCTTCTGTGGATTATTTTTTTTTTTTCACTTTCAGCTACGCTTGTATGAGGTATCAAAGATTAAAATACTAGGCAATCTGACGTATTTTTTTGAATATACATTCTATTTTATTCTTTCATCCTCCTCTTTTAGATCCGCTGTTGGACATAGGCCTTCCCCAGACTTTTCCCTAGTCGTTCTGTCTCCAGTGGTCCGGTATTAACGCTTTGAAATCGCTGACTCAACAGGAACCGCCTTAATGTTGCTTGAGACGTGTATCATGATGGGGAGAGGGTGGGCCATACCGTACCAGGCTGGCCCAGTGCGGGTGGGTAGGGGCCACCCGCAAGAGAGAGGCAGAGCAGCAAGCGCCTCTGTAAAGAAGGCAAGCAAGAACCTCCCTTCGTCGCCCTCCCGGCCCTCCCCTTTCCCCTCTCCCGCACCTCATCTCCCAGTCATAAGCTCCCCGACCTACACACCTGCCGCGCTCATCACCCTCGACAACAAACACACAAAAAGAACTTAACCAGCCCTCTCTCCTCTTCCCCACCCCCCTCCTACCCCCTCCCCCTTATTATTTAAGCAGTTTTCAAGGTCGGCTGAACGATTGGCACTCTAAGTGGAACATAAGGGCGCGCTAGACGATGTTTGTGTGTCATGCTGAAAGGGCGAGAGGGAGAGAAAAATACGGGAAAAAATGCAGAAAACACTGCGA